GGGCCGGCGGAGGATTTGTCTTCTTGGAGGGGTGGCCTCCGTCTTTCTTGTGGCTGTGGAGCTCGTCGGTGTCATCATACAAACTCTCGCGCTGAAGCGCCTTTGCATATGACCTCAGGGGGTCGGTGATGAGGCTCCTGGCGTAGGGGGTGCTGCGGAGAGCTCCCTGCTAGAGGACGAGGAGGGTGCGCTCATCGGCCCCCTCAACTTCCTCGGTCTCCTTCGTCCACCGATCTATGAAGGACCGGAGTGACTCGTCGTGTTGCTGCTTGACCGAGAGGAGATGGGTGAACTACTTCTTCGCACGTTTCCTCCCGACAAAGTGGGCGAGGAAGCGCTGGGCAAGGTCCTACCATGAGTCTATACTTCCTTCGGGAAGCGCGTTGAACCACTCGTACGCTGGCCCTTCAAGAGTGGAGAGGAACCAACAACAGAGGTATTCATCCGACGCGTTCACCATCAACATGTTGTTCTGGTAGCGGCTGAAGTGTTCCTGGGGATCGGAGCGGCCGTCGTAGGTCTTGATGGCGTTTCCCATGTACTTCTCCGGGATGGGAGCCGAGAGCACCCTGTTAGTGAAGGGAGTCCTGGTCCTGACCTGGATGACAGGGTCACCTCGTCCTTCAGCCAATTTCCTCTCAAGGGCGCTGACCTTGTTCATGAGTGCATTGAGGCCGGGGTCATTGGAGGAACCGGCCGTGGGAATGTTCGCCGACTGTCTGGCCTCCATCTGGGCCAGTCTCCTTTCCAGTTGGGCGATAACCTTGTCTCGAGGGTTCCTGGCGGCCGCAGTGGCGCCCTGTTGGTTTTGCATGCGCACCTCGTGGGCCGTGTTGATCTGGTGGCGCACGCCGTCCTCGTGCAGCTTTCCCTTGCCTTTGTTCAGGTGGGGCTGGTCCGCTGTCCGGGACACAGACCCCAGGCTTTCCCTTGGCGAGCCAGGCCGGCGTTCACCAATCTGTCCCGCCATCCTCTCCGATACCGGACGACGGCGCATGTCACCCAGCCTATTGAAGGCAGAGGCTTTTCCACGCGCTGGGGTCGGTCCGGGCCGAAGAGGGGAAGCGGGGTGGGATTGGGACGACGCCGTGTCCTGGGCTATCACCCCCTCATCGTTGCCTAGCTTGATGGCCAACGGTTGGGGCTGAGGAGGTGGAGTGATGTTCCCCCTAGTCCTTGGCATGAGTGCGCTGAGGACGGTGGGGTTCTGAGCCAGGCTGGCAATGATGACCGATAGTGCGGCCTGAACCTGCGGGTCAACAGACGGAGAAGCCGTGGCCAACGGTTGGGCCGTGGCATTGTCTGCCTTCTCTGTGCGCTTCTTGTCCAGGCCGATGCGGGCATCAGGAGCGCCACCGTTGAGCTGGTTGCGCAGATCCGCCGTGAGGTTGATGGCCTCCTGGAAGACATCCCCTCCTCCGACCTGGTCGGCCATGGCGTCCTCCTCATGTTCCCGGTTCTCCTGGTCCTCAGGGATGGCTTTGCTGACGAGGTTGCGGTTTGACTTGGTTCTTCCCATGATCAGTGGTTAGCTGTGCTTGGTAGCGACGAAGGATGCTAACTTGATTGTTCTACTCTCAATGAAAGCACCAAATGATAGATTATATTCTAGAGAGAAGTGAGAGCTAGAGAGAGAAGCGCAATTAAATGCTTCAATAAATGATTTTCCAACCCATACCACTACCTCCAGAGGAAGTATTTATAGGAAAAATACGGGCTGGGCTCCCAAGCCTTGGGCTTGGGAGGCCTATTTACAACTGGACCGCTATTGGGCCGAATACAAAGTAAATGATGGAGTATACAAAATGAGTAAGTGTAAAATCCGGTTCTGGGAGTCCTTTGTGGCCGACGAGGGTCTGGCCGATGAGTGCATGGCCGACAAAGACCCGACCGACGAGGTCACCCGGTTCTTCTGGCTTCCGGATCATGTTCTGGGTTGACTTCGTTCCGGCCGATGAAGGTCACCTGGCCGATGAGGGTCCCACCGGGTGACAGCTGTGCCTTCTGTTCTCCTGAGTATGTGGGTCCTGGGGCCTAGACCCATATACTCCATCAAGGGAGATCTTGCTCCCAATGATTCTCCCTACCTTCACGGAGTTGCTCAACGGCTGAGGAGGGAGAGGATGATAATGAAGGTAACGGGTTCGTGTGGTGGGAGGAGCAGCCTGAAAGGTGATGTAAGTCCTGCTGGATTCGTCCTTTGGAGCCTGTACTGACGAGGCTGACTGTGATCAGATCCAGACTTAACTGTCTAGGGGCTTTGGAAGGTAGTTCATAGACTCCAGTATTATGGGAGCGTAAGCCCGACACCTGAATTATAAAAAAAGTAGAGAAACAAACAAAAATGGAAATGGAGTATAAAGCAAAGAGGTGAATCGGACAACGCGGCATCTAGTTAGTTCTAGACTAGATTACATTCCCACGTAATGTCAGATAATCCAATAAGGTAAAGGCAGTCACCCCATCATTTTCCAACCTTCTCGAAGCTCTCCTTTATGACACGGCGAATTATGATTCTCCCTCCTCCATCCCGGAATCCGTCCCAGAATTTCTTTGTACTTTTCTTTTTGATCTGCTTCAAATTTATCTTTTCTTTCTCTTTTTAGCAAAGAATTTGTGGCTCACAATCATTCTTACACATTTTTACAAATTTCTCTTTCCTCTGTACAACTATCCACCACACATTTCCAACTATCTTAATATGTGTGCGTTGTGACAATTGTACTTGTGAAGATAAATATGAGACAGAGGGAGTATGATATTTGTAGAATTGTAGGCAGGTTCAATAAATTCCTAATTTATTTAAAAAGCCGACCATTACTGCAAATACCAGCCTATACTTCCATATGTTTATGTTTGGTCATATTTGATCCGCTGTGATCTGATCTGGTCTGATCCGATTTCCTCCGGTCTGAGACTGAAAATAAGAACATCCTCATTTCAGTGTAATTGAATTCATCCGGATTATAAAATTATGAACTGGTTTGGTGATTATATTTTTCTCTATATCAGTCCTATTAGTATTTTACTCCCTCTGTCCCATTTAAAGATTTTCACTTTCTTTTTTTGAACGTTCCACTTAAAGGTTCTTACTTTCTATTTTAGAAAGCAATTAACACTTTTAAATGACAATTTAATCATCAAATACTAAAAAGTACATTTATAAAATCACAACGATCATCAATAACCCATTATATTATATACTCATCAAAATTATTTCTCAAAATATACTCGAATTAGCATATTTAATCATTGTCTAAATAATCATCTCATTTTGTCACGGGAACCTTTAAATGGGACGGAGGTAGTAGTATTTTACAAATAACGTCACTTTTATTCACGGATTAGATTGTATAATAATCAATATAAGTAAGGTTGAAGTTACTGTTATGACTGAATTGGTTGAAGTTTCTATATAGATTCAGTTTAATTAGCTATTTTCCATATATTTTTCCTTTATTTTCTTAACAAAATACTCTCTCCGTCCCATTGTAAGGTTCTCACTTTCCTTTTTGGGATGTCCCATATAAAAGTTTTCATTTTCATTTTAGAAAACAATTAACAATCTTAAGTGACAAATTAATCATTAAATATTAACAATAATACATTTATAACATCACAATTATCAATACTAACTACATTATAATATATACCTATTAAAATTACTTTTCAAAATATACTTAAAGTACTTTATTGAATTATTGTCTAAATAATCGTGCCATTTTGCTATGAGAACCTTTCAATGGGACGGATGTAGTATATTTTAACTATAACTTTTTCATAATTCAATAAACTCAGCCAAGATCAATTAATTGAGCCAATATCAACTAATTCAACTAATTGAGCCAATCTCAATGTTACCAAACAAAGTATTCACTTAAAAATAAGTGTAAAATATAGACACAATTTAAAAATAAGTTGCCACACCAACCATTCCGAGTACCTACTACAAGTAAACATACCCATAACTCCATTTACTAGAGAGAAGGTGTAACCGGTGGGCGTAGCTCAACTGGTAGTGAAGGAGTGCCACAAGGGTTAGGTCCTGGGTTCGAATTCCGACAACTGCGATGAGAGGTTACTATGCTAAAAATCTATAGGGTCTCTGCAAGTATCGGGGACATAACCCCACTCTCTATGTGTCAGATTGTGATTATAGTACAATTTACATTCTCCCAACTTACCGGCCGGTCGGTGTGGGGGTCATCAGATATATCCTTTTTTACCAGAGAGAAGGTATACTTTTTCATTGTATCAAACATACTCCGTATTAGTTAGTCGTGAGTGATTTATAAGCCTAATACAGAGGGATCAATACATATCTAACCCTATGTTTCTTTTCAAGTGCAGGTTCGATAGCCTTGAGCCGAATACAGAAAAAAAAAATTAATTCTTCTTTTTAAGTGCAGGTTCGATAGCCTTGAGCCGAATACAGAAGGATCAAACTCACTAATGCTTATTCTTCTTTTTCTTTGAATGTGTCCATCAAACTGTCCACAAAACAAATTTAATTCCAGTAAAACACAAAAATTGACTACATTTGACAATACAGTTAGAAAAAGAATTTGAATTGTGTTGGTAAATTTCAAAATCTGATTGGTTGGCGATGAGAGAAAATCATGTTTATCGAGGGTGCACTTCACCAATACTTTATACCTTCCACCAAAGTTTCAGAACATTTTCTATTTTATATCTTAGTAATTTATTCATAATTTGCTTAAAATGATTTGAAAAATGATGTAAATTTTAATCACATAATTTTTACTTTCCTTATAACTCGTCTAATTAGAAATTGATAAAATCTACAATGACTAAGATAATATCTTTATAATTTACTTATAATTTGTTTAAAAATGGTTATAAAAACTGCACAAAATAGTTTCTTTTTTTTTTGTCACACTGTCGGCGGGAAGGTGTGATTCCATTCATCGAAATACCGAGTAGTTTTTAAAAATGACACAATAGTTTTTCTGAAACTATTGCACACGTGGGACCAACGTATTTAGGGTGGTATCCATTAATAAAACCAGCGCATTTAGGGTGAAATCCATTAATAAAAAGAAGAAGAGCTGCAAAAAGAATACTGGATCACCAAACTGAAGCTATCCTCATCAATAATTCATCATCCTCATCCCGAGCTTATACTTATCTATGCACTAGTTCAAAATCACACCATTGATTTTTCCTACTGGTCTCTGCCCCTGCTTCTAAATCCGTCCCCAGATGCATCTAAAAAGCCTCTGTTTCATACTCCCGGCGGATGAGTCTGCAGAGCCGGTCGACCACGACAAGGTCTACAAGAAAGCAGCCGCCGGAAAAACAGGGCAACCAGATTCCCCACGCAGAGGATGCGGTGGACAAGCTATTGACTTCGTCAAACATTCCCTCCAGAGATTCTTGGCCGCCAAGAAGCAGTTTTCCGGGCAGTTTCACGACATAGATGGCGTCCAGATGGTTGACAACAAAGTGGGTACCGACAACCCAAGAATCTTCAGCTATTCCGAGCTGTTTGTTGGGTCAAACGGGTTCTCCGAAGATCAAGTGTTGGGAAGCGGCGGGTTTGGAAGAGTCTACAGAGCGGTTTTGCCCAGTGATGGAACAGAGGTGGCCGTGAAGTGTTGCCTAGCAGAGAAAGGAGAGAAATTTGACAAGACGTTCGCGGCGGAGCTTGCGGCGGTGGCTCATCTCCGTCACCGGAATCTTGTTAAGCTTCGGGGATGGTGCGTTCATGACGATCAGCTCTTACTTGTATATGAATACATGCCCAATCGCAGTCTTGACAGAGTACTGTTCAGAAAAATGGAGAATCTTTTGGATTGGGAGAGAAGAAAGAAGATCGTTCGTGGCTTAGCCGCAGCACTCTTCTATCTCCATGAACAGTTAGAGACTCAGATAATCCACAGAGACGTCAAAGCCAGTAATGTAATGCTCGATTCCAGTTTCAACGCCCGTCTGGGCGATTTCGGCCTCGCCAGGTGGCTAGAACACTCCCAAACCAGAACCCCATCTTTCCAAAACCACCGTTTCCGGTTAGCTGAGACCACGAAAATCGGAGGAACCATCGGATACTTACCGCCGGAGAGCTTCCAGCGGCGAGGAGCCATAGCCACCGCGAAATCTGACGTGTTCAGCTTCGGAATAGTGGCGCTCGAGGTGGCGTCGGGTAGACGAGCGGTGGATCTCAGCTTCCCAGACGATCATATCGTTCTCCTAGATTGGATCCGACGGCTCTCCGACGAGGGAATGGTTTTGCTCGCCGGCGACGGCCGGCTGATGGATGGTTCTTATAAGCTCGTCGAAATGGAGAGATTGATTCAAATTGGGCTTCTGTGCACACTTAATGAGCCCCATTCAAGGCCCAACATGAAATGGGTCCAGGAAGCACTCTATGGAGAAACTTATGGGAAATTACCAAACCCGCCCTCCTTCAGATCTCACCCTCTCTACATCTCATTCTCTTCGTCTTCCTCATCATCCTCTAGCTCAGAAAATTTCTTTTCTGCTTCAGAAACAGTGTATTATTCTGCAGAATCGGAGCATTCGACCATTTTAAAGAGAAATCGCTATGACGGAGGTTTCCCGGTGGTCGATACTCCGAGAGAATTTACCTGGAAGGAGATCATCCAAGCGACGAAGGATTTCTCGGATTGGCGAAGAGTTGCAGAGGTTGATTTTGGGACAGCTTACAAAGGCTTCATCGACGGCGAACAGAAGATCCTGGTGAAGAGGTTGGGGATGAAGACATGTCCTGCTTTAAGAATGAGGTTCTCTAACGAGCTTCAGAATCTAGGACGGCTCCGACATAGAAATCTCGTGCAGCTCCGTGGATGGTGCACGGAGCAGGGGGAGATGCTGGTTGTCTATGACTATTCTGCTAACCGTCTTCTCAGTCACCTCCTTTTCCATCACAAGCCTTCTACCGAGAGGCACACCCTGCTCAGGTGGCATCACAGGTATATGTGTGTTGTATTTATTTCTAATTTTATTTTTTTGTAAAATAAAATTACTCTCAATCCATAAAATTTGGCCCAAAGTTTTACTTGTATTCTTAATAATAAACCACGAAACTTTTACTGGTTTAGATTTGTGTAAAAAAGAGAGAAATTCTGTAAATTTGTGTACTTTAGCCACATATTTCCCATCTTAAGAGCCCGTTTTGGTAACACTAAGATTGTCGGATTCTTCTGAAATTTATGAAGTTCTGGATTAAGTGGCTGTATTGACTGATTGTGCTTATTCATGAAAAAATTATATTTAAAATATTTGTTATTCATAAATTAAATAAAAAATTATATAAAAAATAGCTAAAATGATCATTACAAACTTTGGCGCGCGAAATCAAAAGTTAGGTGTTTTGTGAAAAAGCTGACTGATAAGACTGATAAGCCGAATAAAGGGGTCACCAAACGGGGCTCTAAATGGAATTGACAAACCTTTTTTAGACCATTTAGACGGTAAGGTAATTTGGTAGATGGTAAAGTTTTGTAGGAAGGAGTAAACACTAATAATAATAGTGACAAACTGAGAATAACCATATTAATATTAGTATTGGGTTGTTATTATTGTTTTGATTTCAGAAATTGCCTAAAATTGGAGTAATTTTTTTTTCTAGAAGTAATTACTGTCATTAGACTGTGACTGCCTGACCGGTAATGTCATAATGAAGTACGAAGTATATGATATTAGAATGAGTAATTTACTTTTGTTTTTGAGAAAAAATACAGTATTTCTATTTTCGAATTTTCAAATGTTTTTCCTCCTATTTTGCAGGGGATTTTGCTTTTTATTTATTAGCAAAGTTCACCAATGTAGAGTTAAAACAAGTTGTTTGCCGAATATTTTATGTATTGTCATATTATAACATTACCATGCATTAATAAAACAGTACTCGTATGTAGGGAAACCAACTATTTTTTTATTCCTATTTAGGACAATATATTTATTTATATTTACCATTTTATTTTTAAATAGTTACAAAAACGTTTAAAAGATGCAAAACTAGAGGGATAAGATAGATTTTGGAACATAATAATAATTTGAAAAGGCTGTTACGGAAAACTTGCTCATATTTTTACTGTCCTTATATTTATTCAAATCCTGAATTATTCCTTATCAGGTACAACATAGTCAAGTCGCTTGCATCCGCGATTCGATATCTCCATGAAGAATGGGAAGAGCAAGTGATCCACAGGTGCATCACATCCTCAGCCATCATCCTTGATCCAGACATGAACCCTCGGCTTGGCTCCTTCTCTCTTGCTGAATTCTTATCCAGGAACGAGCACAGTCACCATGTTGTGGTTGATAAAAACAAGTCGGTCCGTGGGATCTTCGGGTACATGTCCCCAGAGTATATGGAGTCTGGCGAAGCAACTACTATGGCAGATGTTTATAGCTTCGGTGTAGTTCTATTGGAAGTTATCAGTGGTCAAACAGCAGTGGATTTCCGCAGGCCTGAAGTTCTCTTGGTCCACAAACTCCATAGATTTGAACTAGAGAGGAGGCCGTACAATGAGCTGGCAGATCGGCGGTTGGATGGAGAGATTAATAAGCGGGAGTTGATTCGAACTGTCAGATTAGGAATAGCGTGTACTCGGTCAGATCCCACACAACGCCCAAGCATGAGGCAGATTCTAAGCATACTAGATGGACATGATCAATGGTTTGTGGAGAATGGAATGATGAAGGAGAGAAGGGAAGAGTGGAGAAAAAGAAATGCTCATTCTCTTTCACATGTTAGAAGGATACAAGCTCTTGGCATATATTGATCTAAGGTAGAGTGCAAAGCTGTTCTCTCCCAAGTAAAGAAACTTTATGCGGTACATTTTGTTGATTTTGTCATAAGGAGACCAGATAGTACACTTTTTTGTGTATCCTTTTACCCAAAGCAAAGATATGGGCGGATTGGCGTGAGCCCGGCTCCCCCAACTTTCTCTAACTATAACTATGTAGTATATATATAGTGCAGATATTTGTATAGACCTGATGTATGAATATTCATCCTTGTCTCTTCATGTATTATACTTTATGATTCCCAGCATTTTGCCCCACCATAGAGGTTTACTGGTTTAAACCCCATGAATTTTCTCAGCATCTTAAATGCCAACCCAGAATAATGGAAAACCCATGGAACTTGACCATCCATATCCTAAAGAAAACATCATAGCCAGTAATGATGATGCTGGGGGGCGCCCAGGTGTCATGAGACGGCGAATTCTCCCAACGGAAACGTCATTGATTGCCTTGGTCATTATGATCACTTTTTGTCAAGAAACAAAAACACTTCAATTATGTTGTTGAAGGTTCTTTAATGTTGGGAATCTTTGATGTCTGAGATGAACTGAATCAGAAATAGAATATTGAATTGGAAAATGGAAAATGGAAAATGCTAAGTTTACCTGCTGAAGCATATTAAAATGGCTTCTCTAGAAGATAAATCAGAAATAGAATATTGAACTGCAATGGATGTAAACACTTCTTCAGTTCATCATCGATAGCTTTCTAAGCTAACAGGGTAAAGGAATAAGTTCGAATTAATTGTTCATCAAAGCATTTAGCCAAAACTGCTCAACTCTTATATTATTTTTTGGATAAAAAACTCTTATATTATATATTCAAACGTATGTGTTTTCCAAGTCTTGCCATATCTAGACTGATACATCTAAGTCTAATCTGAATGGGTCTCAGTTGTGTAATGTACACTATATATGTCCAGTTTGTTTAAATCTGTCATGCTTGAAATAAGTTCAATTTACACAAGCCCTCAAAAATTTTTACGCAAGAGTTTGGCAAGGAAATGTAGAAATTGCTACTTCTAAAAAATTGCGCTGAGAATAGGTATTCTGATTTGGTGCATCTGCTAATCTCTAGCAGTTCTGTAACTGGAATATAATCTATTGTACTTGTTTGATGAGCTGTGGCACGTACGTTAGCTCCCAGCTTATTTAGACCAGTTTGAGAGAAAGGTAAGACTGGTCTATTTGGTTGGATCATGGAGTCTCCAGCTTGATTTCCCATCTAGTACTGATTTATCTGCGAGTGGATATTGATGGACTCGGCCCGGTCGGGCCGCCGGGTTGTATGACATGGGCCCGGGACCGGCCCGAGGGTTGGACGGGTCCGGTTCGGGCCGGGCCACCCGCCCGGGTCACGGGTCGGGTCCGGTTCGGGCCGGGCCGGTTATTTTTTTTTTTATAATTTATATTTTATAGTTTATAGTTTTATACGAGTATTAAAAACAAACTTCAATTGCATTTATTTGAAATGAAATAGGAACTACATTTGAAAATTAAAACAAACTTTAAGAGATAAACATTTTGAAAATCGTAATCAATCGGAACTTCCCGCACCTCCCGATCCTTTGGCTTTGTCACATGACTTCATATGCTTGATTGCCATCCCGAATCCGCCTGAAACCCCCATGCTACATTTTTTCTCGCACCATTTGCAAATTGCGTACCACATCCCGGTCTTCGGGTCCTTCTGCTTATCAAAATTATACCGTATAATGGCATCTTGATTTTCCATCTTAACTTCTTAAGTATAAACTATAAAGTAGATATATAAATAATAAATACGGAGTATAATATATTGGAGAATAAGAGAATTAGAGAGTAGAGAGTTAAGAATAGGATTTAGGAAAAATTTGAGAAGAGATATGAAAAAATGTTTAAGATTAAGAGTATTTATAGGTTTTTTTACCCCCACCCCCCCACCACCCAACCCCCCCGGACCCCCCCCTTTACCCCACCCAACGGCTATATAGCCGTTTGGGTTGTCCCCAGCCCCACCCCCAACGGCTAGTAGCCCAAGAACCAATTTTTTTTTTTAAATCTTAAGACCGACCCCAGCCGGGCCCGACCCGGCCGGGCCGGGTCACATTAATCCAGCACCGAGCCCGCCCCGCCCATTCCCACCGGTTCGGGTCCATACCCGGTCCCGGACCCGCACAGTACCGGGCCGGGCTGGGTCACGGGCCGGGTGGCCCGAACCGAATCCACCCCTACGAGTGGACAGTACACACTAGACTCATATTGTGGCGTAGCGACCGTTCTTCACAGCATTGCCAACAAATGCTTCTTTTATAGCCCATTTGATAACACGTCGGAAATCGGTTGAATTTACTGGAATTGATAAAGTTCTGGTTGAAATGGCTGAATCTGTTGAATTATGCAAAAGTTAAATTTAAAATATATTTTATAAATGAAATAAAGAAAACACTATATAAAAAACTATCTAACATCATCTTCTACAATCAATTCAGTCAGTCGGAAAAGTAAACTGAACCTTAAATATTTTGATTACACGATTTAGCGCGTGAAATTAAAAGTTACGTGTTTAGTGCAAAACTGGCTATTAAGGATGTTAAGTCAAAAACATGGGTCACCAAATGGGCTCCTAATTTCACTAGTCCAATGGTGTTTATTTTTGTAAGAGAATCAAGGAATCCCTATAATTCAAAACGCTAAATGCTAGCCTGCATATAAATATATAATGACCCAAAATATATTACTAGTAGTTAACAAGAAAGGAACTAGCAGTAGTACTGTCATGAAAACAACAGACAATTAGGGAATGGAAAAAGACATACCCACTGAAGCTTCCATGTTTTTCAGCCTAAAAATATTTCAACACTGGCAACTTGCTATTTTTCTGCCCATCCATTCATTCATTTATTTCATCAATGTTTGTGCGAGTATATGGAGACAACTTGAGATGGTCGAACAACAATATATGATTCTTGCATTTTTGCGTCGCTGGTGGCAAACAAAAATGCCATAATTAATTGCTTTGACCATCAAATTAATAGTACACAAAGATTAATTTGTTCCATCAAGAGTGCTCTCAATAGAAAAATTCCAGAGTATAATGATAATTTACTACATCAAATTAATGGTAAGCAACTGTTACTTTGATCTTAGCAAACAAAAGTTCAATAATGGCTCTCTAACCATCTTTTATTTATTCAATCTTAATTCTCAAGATGGATCGAGCGATGCGATTTTGACACGATTTTCATCATGGGTCATTCAGAAACAGTCTCTCTGTGCTCTCTAATGGCTATCTAACCATCTTTTAGTTGTTCCATCTTAATTTCCAAGATGGGTCAGTCCATGTGACTTTGACACAATTTTCACCATGGGTCATTCGAAAATAGTATCTCCGTACTTTGGTACAAGGGTAAGGCTGTGTAAATCCGATCCCCCTTACCCCACCATAGGTGGAGGAAGTCTTTGCAGTGGGGTAATAATGATGATGATCTTAATTCCCAAGATCATGTTTTCTCATAATAGTTCTAAAAATCCACATCTAGTCAATGTAACAATGTAACATATTACGAATACTATTGTCAATTATTGATTTACTATTGAGATCAATTTCGTCACTTTAGTTGGGCTGCTAGCTAGTCTACTAGTCAGTTACTTATCTCATTCACTATATTGAACTTCGAAAAAGCTAGCCAAACTTGGGAAAGTAGAAGCATGAATCAGAGAAACTTATTGTCCGCAATGTTCTAGTTGCCTAAAGAGTATGAAACACATTCATGGAATCAGAAAATGCGAATGTACTGTACAGAAAATAAGGCTCACGATGAATTGACGTTGGTTGGGGCAACATATGATGATTATGAGTTGATAGAGGATGCTAAGAGGCCGGGCTAGGGCTATAAAATACTATCTGTTAACATAGGTACAAGAAATCTTAATGGAATGTAACATACTCAAATGAAAGGATGAAACAATCTTAGAGGACGAATGAAGTATAGATGTACTCTCTCGTCCCACAAAATTTGGTCAAAGTTGACTTGCACGTAGATTAATGAAGTAAAAATTGTTTGGTTGAAATTTGTGCAGAGTAGAGAGAGAAATAATTTTAACCACATATTTCTTACTAAATGAAATGACAAAGTTTTTTGGGATAGCCAAAAAAAAAATTTGTCCAAATTTTATGAGACATATGGAGTATTACCAAAGATCAAAATCACATAGAGGCAAACAGCCCAACACATCATTGACATTTTGGTATAAAGATACCAAATCACTTGAATTAGTTTCCTATGGACTCATATATCCTATATAAGACAAACTTTTTTATTTGAAATGAAAAAGTTTGTCTTATCTAACACAAACTTTTATAAACTTGCTTTCCACTTGTTTTAACTTTTAGTAGCTTTCGTGTTTTAGAAACTTTAAACCAGACATTTCTAATATATTCTAAATATTTAGAAACCCGGAGAATATTAACCGTTTTTGAATTTGAAAAACAGTTGATGAAATCATGTATGGAGAATTTGTTTTCTAGTTTTAGTTTAAAATAGAATTAATTTCACTTTTGGTCCTACGAGTTTTGTGCCAATTCCACATTTAGTTCACATCTTTCACTTTTTCCACTTTTGGTACTTGACTAATGTATTTTAACCGTTTGTGGTCCTTTTTTGGTGATTTAACCATCGGGAACAATAACGGAATGACTATATGTTGGGCGTGTCTCGGAAAAGCGAGGAAATATTAATTAATAAAAATAATTAATTAATTTAAATAGCTAAAGAAAAACAGAAATGAGATGGAACCGAGTTTAGCCAGAGCTCGTGCTACGCACGATGTCCTTAAAACGTATTCGTCGCCTCCCACGGTGCTAGGAGCGTTGCAACGACCGTTTCCCAGGATACGGTGGCTAACGAACTAACGTTTGAGCACACAAACAAGAGTTCCAGCGAACGGGAACAAAGGCAGAACACTCAGGAATTTTCGAAGTAGCTGGAAATGTTTTAGAGCTCAAAAATACATGAGGAATGTATTGTGTGTTGTGTCTGAACGTGTGTTTGTTGGAAACCACCTGCCAGCTATTTGTAGGAGGATTTGTTGTGTGTTAAATGAGGTGTTAATGGACCTGAACGTTGGACATCAATGACCATTCTGTTGGGCATTGAATCGTCCATAAACTGTCCATTTAACGTAGCATTAAAAGACAAGAACGTTGAACATTTATTGCTGTAACGGACCAGAAGACCCCAACAGAACACCTCGAGGTGTTCTGTCCAGAAGCCACCAGA